AGCAATAGAACGTCGAACTGGAGACTTTTGTCTGCGAGATAGCAAAAAGAGCAACGCGATAGCAGCTAGTAGCGCAGCAGGCTCAAGGGTATAAATGGCTTTCATTCTGGTCAAGTATTATGGAAAGCAGTGGGATAGTCAAGTGAGAAGGGTCTCTTTCACGTGTCAAGATTCAGCGCGAGTCTTATAGCGTCAAGAGCTGGGCGCTTGATAATATTAGCTGGTACCGGATCGACATGGCGAGTTAGCCAAGCGGTCTAAGGCGCCAGACTAAGGCTTAAGCGCGTTGCTTATGTAATATCTGGTCCGAAAGGGCGTGGGTTCGAATCCCACACTCGTCAAGCTATTTTTTGATATATTTTATACGCTTGAATGTCTGTTTCAGCCTGTGTGATACTCAGAATTGTTTTGGGGCGCTTATTCAATATCAAATCAAGCGCCGCAGATGTCACGTGATTTGGGCTAAACAATTTGTGCACCTGAATGTTTTTTCTAGCAGTGTAATACTCAAAAATGTTTCTAGATGCTCATTCGATATAAAATGTATCTAAACTTGAGTTTTTTGCACATAGTTTGGGTCAGTGTCGAAGCTCCCAAGTCCCAGGTCAAACCGCCCAGCCCAGGTTGAATCCCACAATTAAACAAGTTCCAACTTCAGTTTATGTTCATACTCTCTAGCCACCCAAAGAGCCACACCCAGTGTAGCAAGCTCCACTATCCGTGGAGACCTAATATCTTGATCATTTGTCCCTCAGAACTTGGGGTGCTTTACAAACTCCATAGCAGACCCACTTCAATGGATTCATTGGACATTATCTTCAGTAGACTAGAGAGGAACATTATCACAAAACCGCTCGGCGGGGATCGAGCGTGCCACGAGACGGCTGGTTACAAGCCTAGGTTGAACCTCGGAACCGGGATTTAGGGGAGGCACAAACGCAAGCACGCGCCGCCACAACAAACAATCCACTTTCTCGCTCAACCACTCCCATGTCGAAGCGCACTAATCCAGATAGCCGTGTTGATACCAACCCCAAGGCTGCAAAAGCTCCCAAGGCTGGAACGGTGCCCCAGGACAAGGATGGTATGTGGACATTTCTCGTTCTAGAACTACCCTGACTCCAGAATCACTTAGCCACGCCCAAACCAGCCACATCCAAGTCTGGTGGTGGTGCGTCGGGTAATCCAGGCGCTCTAAAAGACAAGACAAATGGTAAATTTCAGTTTGCTGTTTACAGAAACGCGCTAAATCCACTTTAGCGATCGCCAAAATGGCTTCCAGCAAGTCCAAGGGTATGGTCCGCGCTCTTTTGCCTTTCGCGTCTCACTCGGCTTTCAGCTCCTGCAACCAAGACTCACAAAAAGGCTATTTTTGTTTATAAGACCTACTGGCTCTACTCAATCTCGTGGCTGATCTCTGTTGTAGACTCCGAAGACGAGGCTTTGCTCGGAAATAGTGAGTTCTTGACTCAACATGCGCATACATTCGCTCATGGGTGTGATAGAAGATGGAGAGAACAATAATGCGCTTGAAAATGACGAGTATGAGGACGACAAAGGTACTTGTGGCCAGTAATCCGTTCAAACCTAACGCCCACTTAGCAGGATCCGACGCAGAGGACAAGGCATCAGCTAAGGGAAAAGGGAAGAAACAGGCGAGCCAAAAGAACAATCAAAAGGGTAAGCAGGCGCGTGAAACAGAGACAGTTGACTTACACCCGGAAAGAACTAGAGCGGTTCACCGTGCCTGCCATTCGCGACATCGAGACTGCGGCCAATGGGTTCATGAACAAGCAGGCAAACCTTGTGGCACTGTCCATCGCCAAGAGTCGCGCTCGTCAGGAGGCCGCAATCGCAAAAAAAACGAGGAGTACGAGGCAACGACGCGTTATATTGAATTCCGCCGCGAATTCGAAGCTGGTCTCGACGAGGATTCCAGACGGGCATTTGCTCCGAAGATGTACGAACGTGCTCACAACGATCGGCTCAAGACCGAGGAGCGCATTGCAGAATCAAACAAGTATACCAAGGCGAACCATCAAAAGAAGGACGCAAAGACCAAGTTGAATCGCCTGATGAAGACAGCTAACAAGACCTCCCTTTACGACACGCCCGGGACCTCGGCTAGCGGTGAAGCCTCGACCAAGAACGGTGGGAAGGGCAAGGAGGCAAAGGAAAAATAATGTTATGTGAATTTTCGTTTTGTAGAGACGTGGAATAAATAGAATCCCGAACCGTATGTTTCCTCATATCCCATCCCCTCAGCGCCATGACTGACACTTGTCACATTAGTGTCTCTGGCGCGCCTACTGCTTTAACATTCTCCGATATAAGCAAAGCAAGGATTTCATGACACTCTCAGATGCCTGGTGTCCCTCTTGCAGTTTTTGAGAAGCTTGACCAAGAGACTGAGAGCGCGGAATCCAATTTCAAGCCACGTCCTTTTCAGCTTGCCACCGTAGATCCCGCCAAGGTGGCTCATCTACCCTCTGAGCCCCCGAAACCCACCGCTAATCGAAGGCGAACGTACCGAATTACGTTGGAGCAATTAGGCGGTCCAATCCTAATAGCGTCGACGAACTGGTCGACTTTACGAACACCATTTTGGCTCAACACCTAGAACACAGGACTGAGGCGTAAGACACCATGTAGACGCACTGGCACATCTTTCTCGAGCATAATTTCCCCGACATCCCGGAAGATCGCTACTAGCATATCGAGACCATATTGACCTGGACAGAGATGTTCTACGTTAACTCGGTACGTATCTTTGACCTTTCTTAGCTCACATTCCGCAAGCCAGGTTTAAATCCAGTTGTCCAAATTTGGCTTATGTTCATACTCTAGCCACCCAAATAGCTACGCCTAGTACAAGCACTGTCCCACTATTCATGGAGGCTTAATATCCCCATATCAAACCATCATTTATATCCTAAAACCTCAACCCTTTAATAGGCTCTTATAAAAGATCCACTCTATTCATTGACATTATCTTCAGTACATTAGAGAGAAACATTATAGTCTACGCATTACAGCTTAAATGGCGTCTTGACATAATTCACGCGAGCCGACGCTGCGTCATCGACAAACCAGTAGACCTGCCCAGGAGAGATTGGCCGGACACGAGAGCATGGCAGTCCTTCCTCAGGGTGGTCGATAACACGTTGTAGCATCTCTTGTTTCCCCTCGCCCGAGGCGACGAAAGCACACCTCGAAGCGTGGTTCAAAACGGGGAAAGTAAAAGTAATGCGGCGTGGTGGAGGCTTGGGCGAATCTTCAATAGGAGCAATCCAGCGATCGCTCTCGCTGAGCAGCTCATGCCCAGGGAAAAGCGAGCACGTATGCCCATCGGGACCCATACCGAGTAGGATTAGGTCGAAGACCGGGAACCGTGCAGAGTCCTTTTGCGCAAACTCTTGGATCAAAATCTTTTCGTACACGTCCGCCACCTCCTCCGCATCGTCTAGAATGCTGGTGTCGATGGCACGGATATTCTTCTCGGGAATGGGAACGTGCGAGAGAAACTCCTTCTTGCAGAGCCCGTAGTTCGAGTCTTCGTGGTCAAGCGGCACCAGACGCTCGTCGGCAAAGTATACGTACCTGGAACTCTACTCAGATAAGACCTAGCTGCCTAGACGCATACACGTACCACTTGTCCCACGGAATATCCCTTCGTCCAATCAACCCCTTTAACATCTTTGGAAGTGAACCTCCCGACAGAGCGACAGTAAATTTCTTCCTTTTTTCTATCGCTTCTGCCTGCGATTTAACGATAAACTCGGCAAGCGAATCGATTAACGCGCTGCTCGAGTTAAAGGAGAATAGGATAGGCGCTTGCGGCGTGTGTGACGAAGGCATTGTGGGACCAAGCACGAGATAAATACCAGCAAGAGCTAATACGACAGTGCTCAAGACAGTGAACTGTCGAGGTATACGGACAGGCGTGATGGTTGGGAGCAAGATGTCATCGTGGGAGATCATATACTTGTGTATTTGTCAGCTGACATCAGTACATGTCATTCTGGTTCATTCTTTGGAGATTCCGATACTACCTCTTTGTCAGACTTGACAGTTACAGGTGCCTTTCTTTTGACATCCTCCTCGTCAACTTCTTCGGGTCGCAAAGCCCTCTCTGCGTCCTTTTGACGCTCCCGCTGCACCCTGGCCTCCCGCTCGCGGTTAATAGTATCGAGAATCTCCTTTGCTCCGCTCACTATCAGAGTTTTGGCAACAGCTCGTCCAACTTCTTCAGCTTCCTCTGCGGACGACACTACGGTGGTGATAGTATGTTGCACATGCTTGGACCCATCTAGAGCCGTCACTGTGCCCGTCAAGGTGAGCTTGGATGGCCGAGCCGTCGATGTTGCACTTTCCCCTCCGCTCGCCCCACCACTCCCCTCGGTTTGGACGCCCGCGCCCTCGGTCGCATCACCTTCGTGCTCTTCCAGGAAGGTGGTTACACCCACAGGTACGCTACAACCCCCTTCCAGCACCCGCAAGCATGCTCGCTCGGCCTTGCACGACCAAGCCGTCCGCCAGTCTTCTACTTGAGCGAGCAGCTCTCGGGCTTCCGCGTCGTCCGCCCGAATTTCGATACCTAAAGCTCCCTGGCCAACTGCATGTAACAACGTAGGTGCGCCGAGTGTGGATGTGATTCGAGAACCAAGTCCAAGCCTCTCGAGTCCCGCTCGTGCGAGGATAATCGCAGAATAAGGTCCCTCGTGGTTGTCGAGTTTTTTAAGACGGGTATCACTTGAAACACAAAATGAGCTTGGCGTGAGTAGATTGAACAGAGACGAACATGTTGCCTCGCTGTGTCAAGTTAGAGCCGGGTAAATGCGGTGATTTTAGTTGTACATACTATATCTTTAAAGACGAGATTGGGAAAGTTTCGCTTTAGCTGGGCTACACGCCTCACGCTGCTCGTTCCTACCACGGTTCCTTCTGGTAGTTCCTCAAGTGTTTTATATGATAAATTGTCCTTTACGACCAGACAATCGCGTGGGTCCTCTCGTTGCGTTATAGCGCCAATTTCTCCTCCCTCTGGTAGCAGCGTCGGCACGTCCTTCAAGCTATGCACGATCATGTCGATTTGACGGTCAAATAGTGCGACCTCGAGATCTTTTGTCCACATTGCCTTTCCGCCAAGAAGGTAGAGCGATTGAGACTGATTTCGGTCTCCCTCGGTAGTCAAGTAATGAATATCGAAAGTTTTATCGGAATGAAGTCCAGAAAGGGCACCCTGAACAAGTTCAGCCTGAACACGAGCAAGCTGAGACCCTCTAGAGCCTATAGTGAACTTTGTGCGGTTGCCTGTCGACATATTTTATGGTGCTAGAGA